ATTTTGCTTATGATAAGTTTCATATTAAATGGATATTTTTCTATTCTTTACTGTGTTAAATATTGTGAGTTTATGAGGCCCAGATGTGCTTTTACTCTCAAAGATATTGATTGTGCAATTATTTTCCATGAATTAAATTATAGGATAAATGTTCCTTTGAACAGAAACCAAGATTTACTAATTGTTCCTTATTGACTAATAATAGGAACATTATAAAATTTAAAACACTAGTGCAAGTCTATATGCTAATTTTTTAAATAATGACTTGTGCAATACAGAATATTTTTCAAGTGCTACCACACACAGAAGATAGAAAGTGTGAGGTAGAATAGTTCTTAAAAATTGAAAACATCCATGTCTATTGTGAAATTTCACAGTAGCAGTGATTCATTATTTTCATTCATTGCCAAACAGTTATGATATCTGAAAATTAACAAGTGAAAGGAGCTGCTAAGTAACTATTATAGCTGCAGTGGGAAGTACAAAACAGACAATTACTTTAGAACATTTACTAATCCAATTGAAGAACAAGGAGTATTAAGAGAACAGTAATTCTTTTACTTCCCATTGGAAAAAAATAAATGTTGTGTGTATATATAGGAAACTTTTTTAATGTTGGCATTGATAATTCACATCTGAATGTCTGTATTGGACCCCACAGTTTAATGAGTTGATATAGTTCCATATTTTTTGTCACAGTGAAATTATTCTAAAATTTAATGCTCACTTAGTAAAAGACAAAGTATACCTGTTGACTGACAATAAAAAAGCAAAAAAAAAATCTATAAAAATATCATCTTATCTAGTAAACTAATGCCACACATTTGCATGAATCATTTTAGTTATTATATGAATGTGTTTAAAACAGCATTTGTACTCCTTAGATCTTGTGTAGTGCATATTTTTACAATATGAAAGGCAGTGTGTCCCTTTACTTTATAAAATTATATATGCACATACTTTTCCTTCCTGATCACAGACTTAACATTCACATAGCTTCATTTCCTACAGATATATGACAATGAATTTATATTTTGGTTTATTCTTATACATCTGAATTTATGATGTGGGTTATATTTTTATTAATAATAATACCAAATAATTTAATGACTCAGTTTCTGGAGTTCCATGAATAAAATATAAAAGTTTCATTTGCAGTACATTAATGAGGAACTTCAGTGAATCCTCCTTTGGTATCTTACAAAACAAACCTAATTATTTTCACTCATTCTTATTATGAAAGCTTTGAAAGTCTGGCCACATACATTTGCTTATGTTTTCTCTCAGTTTTTAATGACTTTGAGAGATGGCTTTATATTCCTGCAGAGAAAATACACAGTTTGAAGAAAATTCACAGTCTGCTCACCCTACGCAGTAGACTGTACTGGTGTTCGGACTCGGCTGCCGTGCTGGGCCACAGGCTGTCCGCCCTTCATCTTCAGGGAACTGATGATGCCAGCGCATGCATACCTTAGCTTCCCACTTGGAATTTCCTATGTGTGATTACCCAAAGCGAGGTCAAAATGTCTACCTTTCTAGGAGTGCAGTAGCCGAGCTATATGGGCAATACTCTGCTGCACTGTTTTAAGGTCCAAGATGTGACACATTGGAATAAACCTTGAATGTTTTATCGTTAGTTCCTGAGCACTTCAAAAAGTTCTATAAGTAAGGTCAGACAGCTAAGCTTTCGTTGTGTGAATACCCATGTGGGTTCATGAAATAACAACTAAAATGGTATGCAACTGTTTTTCTATTTTAGTAATTCTTATTTAAAAATCTACCTGCTAAGTTTCCTGACTATTATATCCAAGTTGTATTTTGAGCATTATTAAATTTTTCCATCTACAATACAACTCTGCCAAGAGATAGATAATAAAATGAAGTCTAAGAAAGATTATTGATATAATTTTGGAACAACTATATAGGCAGAAAAATTTAATGATGAACATCTGAATTATTCTTAAAGCCTTGCAGTATTTTTCCTGTTCTCTATATCTATGTCCACTTGGTTCCCACTATATGCAAAGTACCATTCTGAGATCAAGAGACATAACTATAAGCATATTAGATTTCTTCGCAGTGGATAAACATCTGGATAAAGCACCACACAGACTACCTGCCCGAATCCATGTGGGTATTAAATAATTATTTTATTTACTCAATAATATTTGATCACCAGGCCTTTAAAAGTTATTGCATAATTCACACCATCAAATATCAAATACTTTCAATAATTATGTAGCTCTTAGTTTCTGACAGTTGAAGAACTAATATATATTCATCTTTTATACCATATTGTTGAGATGGCCACGTTGTTCTCTTCCCTCTGCCTATAGATGGCTTCTGTTTTAATATTTATCGGGACAGACAAATGAAGGATATGCTAAGGAAGGTGAGGAGGATAGGAAGCTGAAGGAGCAAATATATTCTGTATTAGAGTTGGATCTCTATGCGTCATATTGAGAGATGATCTTTGTCTCATTCATTCTTTCATTTGTGCAAAATAAATATTTAACTTTTTAGACATACTCTGTATTTCCTAGGAAGAGGAAGATGGTAGAAATCTTACTCCTTGGGATCAATGCATACTATGAGTCATTTACCCCATTGTGTGATTTTTAAAAAGTTGTTTAATGTCCCTGATTTTGCAACCATGAAATGAAGACAAAAATAATTACTTTGTAATCTGGGGACTAAGTACTTAAAATAGTGATGTAATTATTGCTCACCTGAGAAACAATTGTGACAATTAAGTGAGATAATGAAAGTCAAGCATTTAGTAAAGCTCTGAGTGAAAAAAAAATTGGCAACAGTTTATGTCCTTATTCTAATCCCTACCTTAATCATCTTGATCTGCCAGACAAATGGTTCTGAATGTCTCATGTGGCACTTCACTGGAGAGCTATCTGTGATGCTTATTTTAAAAGCTCAGAACTTTGAGCTAGTCCCTGAGTAGATGAGTGAGCATTTGTCATGAATTCCTAAACATATGAAGTAATAACACCAAATGTTTGGCTGTTAGCTGTCCATGAAAGAAATGATGTCTGGCTAAGAAGGCCTATTCCCTGAACCAACAACTGGCAGTTGCTGTTCTGTACTAAGCTGCTTGGAATTATTCCAGCAGCCAAGAGACCCCTGGTTAGGTCTGTTTTAACGTGAAATGACTACCTTCTTTCATAAATTACCTTCTCTGTGTTCATATGTTACAATTCGATATGCAAATGCATTACTACCTAGTCTGATTCTAGGATCCACTGCCCTTTCTATTACACGCTTTTATTAAACATAGGATTTTCTTTATTTTTTTAACATAGGATTTTCATTGACACTCAACTATTTCATAACTGGCAGATCTGTGTAATTAATGAAAACTGAGTTGCATTTGAGATGTTGTCATTAGTTTATTACTTGGAAGGCACTATCGTGAGCTAAACTTTACTTGCAAATTAAAATTGAATTAAACACAATATCAAAACAAAGTGTTGTAGTTCAGATCATGCTAATGAAATGTTGATGGTGGATAGCCGGTTAAAACCCCAACATTCTGACTTCTTCATATATTTTTTTTTTTTATAATTAAGCAGCCTTTAAAAAACTCATTACCTATAATTCAAAATCCTATAGTTGTGTAACCAGAGCCTCAAATGCTTAATAATTCTCATGAAGAACTACTTCTGCATCAAATAAAAATGACTTTAATTCTAAAAAATAAATAAATACTGCCAGTTTAAGAAAAAAAATCATCATTGCCTGAGCTAGGATGGAGCTGATGTTCCATTTACCTCTGAAAAAGTTTAACTCTCTTTTTAGGAGGAATGAAAGGCAATGCATTGAAAATCACCTAGAATTAACTCAAAAGGTTTGCTTCTGGCCTTCCAGGTCACACTAAATGCCTGCATGTCAAAGAATATTTTTATGCAACATGTATTGTGTATCTTTTGGACTTTTTGTTTTGCTTTTGAAATTGAGAGCGCAACACCAACTCTGCCTACCTCTTAAATTGGGAAAATATTTGATTCTCCAGACATAAAAGTTCTTTGTGTTCATATGTTATAATATACAAATACAGTATCTTTTCATGTATGCTGTAATATATATTTTTAATTGTTGAGGGTGAGAGTTCTAAAGTACTAATATACACTGGAATCTGCCCCAGTATTTGTTGTTTAGCATTATTTAGAGTCTAATATGTGCTACCTATCACACTTAGGTAATATTTAATAAGACAATATCTACATCAATTTGTTAAAATTCTACTTCAGCCCAGGGATTGAAAGTAGAATTGAAACATAGAACATATCTTTGTTAACAGACTCCTTTCTCCAGGGACTGCAGTGATGAACATAGTAGGTGTTTATCAAAAAATTGTTGATTGAATGAATGTGTAGCACTTAAATGCATCATCAATATATAATTTGCATTATATGTTTATATTTATTACTGAGAACTGTAGAAATTAGCATTACTTTCAATTTCTTAAAATTGTATATGTTGTAATACCAACTTTGGATTTCATGTTTATGCTATTGAAAAGTATTATTTTTTTGTAATCTCGTCTGATATGAAGTCCTCTGTACTGTAATTCAAATATTTTGAATTAAGAGTAAGAGTTTTATAACATTCATTACTAAACTGACAATTTCATTTATTTTCTCAGTACATTTTAGAAGAATGTGATGAGATATCATGTGATCGCATTTTATAGAATAAGAATCAGAACCCCATAGCGCTATGTTCAAGCCCAACTATCCCCCTCTCTCTTCAGGAGAATGCTTGCTGTCCATTTCTCAGGCCTGTTGTTCTGTGTGGGCCTAAATGTATTTGCCTTATGAATCATTGTATTAAATGTCAATGTGGTACCAGACTTCAAATGCTAAGTATAACATTCAACAAAATAGCCAACTGTAGCTTTTATTATGTACACAGCGCACCTTCTAAACAGGTACTGCACTTTGTGCTTGTTTCCACTTTTTGAATTGCTTGTGTGTTTCTTTCCCCAGATGGATACACCACTGATGACATAGAGTTTTACTGGCGTGGGGATGACAACGCAGTGACAGGAGTAACAAAGATTGAGCTTCCACAGTTCTCCATTGTGGATTACAAACTTATCACCAAAAAGGTTGTTTTTTCTACAGGTTCGTATGAGGGAAAATGGTTCAGGGGAAAGAAGCTTTATCCTATGTTGTCATGGAGTTCACATCGCTCAGGGTTGTGTGCCAGGGACGGCTCACAACTCTACAAGACATTTCTGGTGAAAATCCTGTTTCCTGCCCAGCCTAGGGTTCCATGCTTTCCTAGAAGACATAGCTAGCAAAGCTGAGAAGGTCATGTCTATGTCTCTTATTTGCCAGAAAAGGGACTATTTTTTAGAGACAGATTACAGAACGTAAAATAAAGAACCACATCACAGCTGTCCTTCCACTTTATGTGTCCCATAGAATTCCGATGCATCACAATTCTTTAAAATATACTCAGGATTGCCAGGCAGGAATTCAGCCTCGATGGAGCACAGTGAAATTCTCAAAAGGCAGTAGAGTAGGAGGATTTCACATTTTCTATAAAGGGTTATAACTTCCTTCCAGTTTTACCCAGATTAGAATTAGAACTGCTTCCAGACGTTGAGATCATCCTGATGTCTTCCCACCTTTATCCTTAAGGAAGTGAGATTTCACATTGCCACACTTGATTTCACCAGCACAGTTTTTACATATAAAACCCAAGGGATGTAGTCATTTGCTAGATACTAATTTAGTAGAAAAAAAAATAAGTAAACCTGCAGGATTATCCATCTCTAAGTTTTTCTCACTGAAATGAATCCCATAGGCAAGCAAAAAGACAATACTGGGACTAAATGTAGAATTGAGTTCCCTTTCAAGGATTCATATCCTTGCAGCCCACTTCAAACAAGAAGCATTTTTGAATCATAAAGATTCAAAGTGGCATCTTGCTCTAGCAAAACTTTTCCTGAGTGCGAGGTCCTCTAAATCCTGAACACTGTGGAGATGTGCTCTTACTGGAAATGATTTTCCTTTCATATTGAGATACTTGGCTGAGCCCAAAGAGACTAAATGCTGCTTCTTTTAGAACTTGAAAAGTCCTTGTATGTACCACATACTGAAATAAGCATGATGGCCCATGTATCTTCTCTACAGAATAATCTCCCAGATCACCATCATCAAAGTATCCAGATTTAATAAACTGATCCTTTAGTCATATTTATCATAAATCCTGCTCAAAAGCAGTAATTCTTTGGGGGGTAAGGGTTTCTTTGGCATCTGACATGGGCAGTTAAGTTATTAAGAATAAAGAATATGCATACAACATGAAAACTTGTACAAATCTGCACTCCTGAAACATTTGCCACTGATCACAGAACCAACCACATCTTTCAGAAGACACTGGGTTTTTTCCCCTATGATCACAGCATTTTCTCATTTAAGAATAAACATAGGGGCTGGGAAGACGGCTGAGTGGAATAAGGGCTTTCTTGACAAGTGCAAGGGCCTGAGTTCAATTCCTGGTTCTACAAAAAATTAATAAATAAATAAATTAACACATGGGATGGGGAACAGTTAAGCAAGTGAACGAAGGGAACATCCAAGCTGTCTTGTCAGTGAATGAGTGTCCTTAGTGTGGTGTATGGGGCTGCACATGGACAGCAAGGATTATTTTAACTACTTGTGAATACAGGAGGCCTTCCATACCGAGTAACTCCTGATAATTAAAAGCCTGTGTTCACAGGATCATTTTGCTCAGAAAAGCTTCCTTTACCCCAAGCTGAAATTGTATTTTGAGATGTACAAATCATATATGGACCTTTAATGGGAAGTATCTACTATAACTGATTAATAATGGTGATGTGCTAAAATTGTCTTTTCAGGTTCCTATCCCAGGCTGTCTCTCAGCTTTAAGCTTAAGAGAAACATTGGCTACTTCATCCTGCAAACCTACATGCCTTCCATCTTGATTACTATCCTCTCTTGGGTCTCCTTCTGGATTAATTATGATGCTTCAGCGGCAAGAGTGGCATTAGGTAGGCAGTAATCCAATGCATGTGGGCCCTGGCTCCGTGCATGCATGCACGCATGCCTGCCTTAGCCAGGCATCTGTAGTGCATGGTCAGAGGGGACCTTGCACTATGCAAGAGTGTAGCCCTTCGACTTCAGGGTTCTGATTCAGCATTAAATCAATTAAACATGAACTAAAGTGCTTCCTTGTCAAAATTAGTTAACCATATAGCTGTTGGTAATGAAATTAGTTTCATCAGTTTGATATTTTTATTGCTACATATTTCATGTATTATTGCTTGCATAATTGTTCAATTTGTATCTGGGCTTGTTTACATGAGAAGAGCCCCCTTCCGTGTTTTCATTATTCCTGGGTGTCGCACAAGGAAATGTAGTATGTAGCCAATGAAGAAGCAAAAGGGATTGTGTGGTTGGTTTTCAAGTAGCATACAGGGCATAGTTTGAAGACTATAACAAAAGAACAACAGGAAGTCACCTGAAGCATCATTTTTTATGTGCCAGATTTTTAAAGTGTTATAACAGTAGAAAAAGAGGGTAAATTATATGAATTCTATTTCTTTAATATTTGTTACTATCTCCAGATAAATAGACCTTTATAAAATCTTCATAGTATTGAATTCTGACTATTCCCTTAAAGACATTAAATTGTTGATTTCTTCCTCATGCGGTCCCAGTTCAGTCATTATTTTCTTAAGAAAGTCATTATTTTATTCATTCATAAAGTATTTGGTAAAGCTGGGCATGGCATGCAGGCCTACATTTCCAGAACTCTTGAGAGGCTGAGGAAAGAAGATTATAAGTTCAAAACAAGCCTGGGCAACTTAGTGACTTAAGGAAACCCTATTCCAAAGGAATGATAAAAATAAGGGCTGGGGATGTAGCTCAGTGTGAAGGCTCTGAGTTCATAACCAGTACCCCATACACATAAAAAGGGCTGAACACTTAAAATGCAGACCTCATCTGGAAATGATGTTTTAGGAGTAAAAGACAGACAAATAATCACATGCATCTTATCGCAGGGTGTGTCTACAGAGGGAAATGAGTAAGGTAAGAATGCTTGGGTATACCAGGGAGTGTAGTTTAAAGTAATCACAGTGGTTTTCTCAGAAGTTGCTATTAGAATAAAGACTTTTAAGAAGATGAAGAACCGGCGGATGTCTGGATGATAATATGCTGGGCTATTCAGTGACCTCTAGGAGGAATAAGCCAAAGCAGACAAGGGAAGACAGTGAAGAGTTCAGGGATGTACTTAAGATAATGTTGAGGAGAGGCAGTAAAGATCACAGAGAGCTTCAGAGGGCTGTACTAAAAGCTCTGCTTTTATCTCAATTGGAATAGAGAGCCACTGAGTAAAGATGTGATTTAAGTTGAGATTTAATGGGGTCATTTGGCTGTTGTTAATATTAGATTGTGACAGCTCCAGAATGCAGGATAGAAGGCCAGACTCCTGGACTGAGTCCAGACCCTGTGCATTAGACTTTGAGAAAGCCATAGAACTCCCTGTGTAGGTGACCTCCATTCTAATTGATATTTATTTAGTGTTGCACATAGGAGAAGATATGCAGTAAATATTTATGGAATGAAAGAAGGAACAAAATCTAGTGATACCTTATTTTCCCCAAAGTTAAAACCAGTTGCCTATTTTGTTTGTGTTATAGAAACGATGGATGATTCACTCACATTTGAAAAGGAAGTTTGAAAATATCTTCTTATGTAAGCAATTTGCTAATAAGATCAGAAATACCTGAAAATGAGGTTTAGATAAATGGCAAATCCAACCATGTATGTGTGAACACATGCATGTAGTATAGGCTAATGTGTAGTGGGAAGGATAAAGTAAAAAATTAAGTTGGAAAATGTCTTCAAGTGACTACAGAAGACATGAAAACTGCAAGACACTGTAAAGCAAAATGACAGCTCCAGTTTATATTTTCTGTAGCTTTTAATAAGAATGAAGAAAAACAACATAAACACTATGATGTTATTGTTAGAGAGATGAAGCTAAATAAGAAAACTGTGCCCTCACATATATCATAGAAATGAAAGTTACCTTTATGAATGCACTAGCACGCAGTATCTAGAGTGAGTTTCCAGAGTTAGAAATATCCTGGGGGTAGGTCAAAGACTGACCTATCCCTTCCTGTCCCTGGGATTTTGACCTCTAAGCTTGGGCTATTTTCACATCACTATTTTGCCGCCAACCTGCACTTTACTCCAGACTCTAAACTCTCAATGCTTTCATCATCCAATTCTGGTTTTGAGCAAAAATATGTTCCACTGAGAGAACTATCCCCTTAACTAGACCCACAATTCCATTCTGACCCAGCGCAGCATCCCCCATGAAGACTCTCTAACATGCTACCTATCTGAGCATTGTGGACCTAATTGTCTGATTGCAAAGCAGAAGAGCAGTGTGTCCTGTTTTCTGTTTCCCTTCACTTCTGGCTGCTGAACACTGACCATCATCTGTACCGCCTGTGGAACACGGTCATTGATTTCAAAACTGGTGCTTCACTGATTTCAGAACTGGTGCTGTTATTGTAACACACTTGCTCTCCCTCCTTTGCACTGATTGTTCTGGCAGCCTTGTGGCTGGTGCCCTTTATTCTCCTGTGTGCTTTTCTCCCATCCTTGACACTGCTACCAACTGGCCTACGTTCCATTTGCGCTTATGTCTCCTGGCTTGGAGCCGGCCAGTGCTCTAACTGCCTTTCATAGTAAATTCCCTTTGGGGCATCCCTTGCTTACCCCCATTTTCTCCCCATTCTGCCCACCCTGAGTTAATGAGAGTGGTATACCTAGGATGATTTTCTTCAAAACCTTTAATGGGCTGTGATTTAAAGTTCTCTCTCCCACCAGTTTTCTTAATCTATCCTTTGAACTCCAGTTCTTGGTCTTCTGGTTAAATGAATTTGTTTTTCAGGAACCAGATCAGAAGTATCCATTTCCTGATCTCTTCTCCCTGATTTATGGCCTTCTCCATTTTAATTCCCACCTTCTATATGTGTTTAATATGAAATTTAATTCATATTTTTGCATATTTAATCATCACTGCATATATAAATATAAGTGAAAACTACTACTAAAGGAAGTCCTACAAAATTATTATTGCTCATGTTAGCTTACATATAACTCCAGAGCCTACCACAGCACTGGTATGTAATAAGTGCCCTGTAAAGATATTGTGGCATATTTAACATTTTACACAGTCTGAAAACGGAAAGGTAGTAGGACTATTATCACTCTAATGCTGTCATTTCTTTTCAGGAATTACAACTGTCCTTACCATGACCACAATCAACACCCACCTTAGAGAAACTCTCCCTAAAATCCCTTACGTGAAGGCCATTGACATGTACCTCATGGGGTGCTTCGTCTTTGTTTTCATGGCACTTCTGGAGTATGCCTTGGTGAACTACATCTTCTTTGGGAGGGGACCCCAGCGCCAAAAGAAAGCAGCTGAAAAGGCTGCTAGTGCCAACAATGAGAAGATGCGCCTGGATGTCAATAAGGTAAATGTAGAAGGCGAGCCCTTCTTGTTTCTTAATTCATACAGTAATGCTATCCTTGGAGAGCAACACCTTGCTCAGAACACATTTACAGTAAGACACAGTTAAGGTCTCAACTGATCACCTGAAATTTGGTCCTTTATGAGTTAATGATAGGGCTTGCCCAAACCTTCATCATCTCAAAACCACCTATGGTTTTTTTTTTCCCCATAAGAAACCATCTTTCTTTATATTTCTTTGAAGTTTCTCTCCTTGTTTAAATTAAAACGGGAAGTTCATGTCACACTAATTGTTTTCACTTGCTAAAGATAATTTTAAATGAATAAACACAAAGTATATTATTAAACTCTCTACTAAACAAAGACTCTTGACCTTAGATCTCCATTCTCTTTGATTTCAAAAGGAAATAAGCAGAGCCAGTGAGATAGCTCAGCAGACTAAAGCATCTGCCTAGGCAAGTGCAGGGACTGCAGTTCGATCCAGGATGCCACATGCCCTCCAGCCCCACTCCCAGGGTGGGCTGAGCCAGCCACAGAGTTCCATCATGGTGGCACATGCCTGTAATCCCAGTGCTGGGGAGGCTGAAAACAGGAAGGTCACTGTGAGTGAGCTGTGTAGTGAGACCCTACAACAACCAAATACATAAAAAAGAAAAAGAAAGGAAATAAATGAGAATAGAGATGTGTTGAAGACTCAGAAACAACAAACTAAGACTTCGTCCTTAAAGTAATCAGGATAGATGTGGGGAATGAATAACTTTTCTTATTAAATGACACAGTGACTTCATGCCATGCACATGTCACTCAGGATAGAAGGAGTCACATGATTATGTGAGGTTGTAGGCTTGCTGCATTCAGGCCCTATGCAAAGATTCCCTACACAATTTTAGGTCCTTTTTTATTCTTTGGGTCAGTAGTTCTCAACTGTACTTCCCCAGTGAAATGGTTTGGAGGGAATAAAAAATAATATGGAAGCCTGGGTCGTTTGACCCAATACTTTTATTTGACTGTCTTGAGTATAAGCAGACATCATAGTTCTTAAATTTTCACCATGTTGTACTAATTTGTATCCAAGAGTCTTCACTTAGAGGCTTGGGACAGCAATCCTCATGGAGTTAGCCTCCTAAAACCCAAACTGTAACCTTCTCTAGTTTGCTGTTGAGATATTTTCTACACTAAGGAGAGCAACTGTATATGTTTACCCTTAGCCAAGATTTATACCCTTTGAATAAAAAAAATATGGTCTCGATTTAATATTTCCCTAAATAGTGTTTATAAAATATTGTGTAACATTGGATGCAATAACTAGCTCATAGTTATACAATCGGGAAAGAAGTAATACATTTAGGCCAGCTGTAGTTATTTACTATAACAATAATTATAAAATTCCATTTGCATTTTAATATTTCCAATTTCACCTTAACTTCAGAGATAGAAAAAAAATGATCTCTAGCATTGGGATTCATTTGTAGAAAATCCTGTGGAGGTTTGTGATTCTCTTAGCTTTCCCACATTTTATCCATAGATCTAATATTTGATTTTGGACTACTTTTAATCCGGAAGATGATATTTAAAGTGATGCAAATTTTAAGCATGGCCCCTTAAAAGTCCACAAACCATAGGATATAGTAAATCATTAGTTTCCAATGCCCAGTGTCTTCCTTACTGGAATCTGTAGGTGGGTAGGTGATAATAACTACCTCACTTTATGGCTAGCTCAGCCTGTCAAAGTACAGAGTACTTTCTAAAGCAATTTTATGATTTTCCTGATATTATAGCCTTGGTAAAGAAAAGAGAATGAATAAATAAAACTATCTCCTAGGACTGCAGTTTGAAATGAATCTAAATCAATTCCCTAATACAAGGCTGACTTAATAAGATAACATCTGATCTCTTTTTCCTTTCATCTATTCTATTTTCATACTAATTTGCATTTAAATGATAAATTTAAGATCTAGGCAGTGGAGATTTTATACTGAACTTGAAAAGCTTTAGTTAGCTCTAAATTCAATTGTACTGAGCCAGAATTAGAGAATAGTTCCCTGGGCAGGTACCTCCTAGGATAGAAACGTCCTCCTCACTGAGTATGGACATGTGATTCAGGTCATAGGATATAAGAGAATAAGAAAGATCCCTAGAAATCTTTCCGTGCAGTAGTTTCCAAGCAGGAAGAAGTAGATCTCCAAGGGAATTCTTGTTACTGTCTAGAGACATTTTTGATTATCAAAACAAGAAGATGGGAGTTGTTGCTGGTATCCAATCTGTGGCGGCCAGGGAGAGAAGCAGCCAAACATCTTGCAATGTCTAGGACAGCTTCCCATAACAGATTGCTATTCAGCAAAGCATTCAGTTCTTCAGCCGCAAGCATGAGATATTGAGGCCCAGAAAAAACATGCTTACATTCATATTCTATGTGTTAGCATTATGTGAAATCACCATTTTCTTCAATCAACACAATGTAGCAATATTCTAGGAGCTTAGCACAATACTACTGAATATGTATCTTGAAGACAGCTTTAACATTTGCCTTCCCATTCATGGCTGTGTGGTAATCAATAAAATCATTTATCTGACCCTTCAAGTTTCTTATCTATAAAACGGGCTTAATTGCTCCCTCGTTACAGTATCATAAAGATTATTTTGATAATGTATAAAGAGGATAACATACTTGCTAGTGCATGATAAGCACTCAATAATTGGTAAATACTAATAAAATATTAGTACTGGCTATTTTTAGTTACAAAATAAAACATGTTATCTTCAGATGTAGGGATAGCCCTAGCTTGCACATCTTACATGGTCTAGGATGTAGAATTCATTCCCAGTCCTAAAAAAGAATATTATCTTAAAAAGAATGCTTAGCAACAAAACTTTTAATAGTAAAGCAAAAATATTATTTTTTCAATGGCTGTTCTCTGTAGAATTTATGGTGAGCCCACAAAGTCAAATTTTATCCATTATTTTTACGACTTTGTCAATTATTTCTTATCAATACCTATAGCCATACTGATGATCTTAAAAGTATGTCCATGTAACATTTCAGATCCCATGATTCTTATGCATCTGGGCATGAAACGTTAGAAAGGGTCTTACGCTGGGTTCTGATTGCACACTGATTGCCTTTGTGTCGTCCTCATTAACAACGTCATCACTTATCATCAGAAATATCCTTTCATCACATTCTTTTCAACTGTAATTCTAACCTTATTTTTCTTCCAAAGATTGGGCACATACAATCTTCCAAGTATTATTGTCTGTTCAAACAAAATCAGTCTCTAGGACAGAAATTGGATTTTTCACTTCTGATAGTTTCCTAGGGAAGGAAGTGATGTACCTGAATACCTAAACAAGTTTCAATGAACGCTTTCAGATTTTTCAACCGTGACACACAGTTTGCTGCTTCCTGCATTCTGTAGGTTCGCCACCACTAACTTTTTAAAACTACTTTTACCTGAGGTTAGGGAAAGATAAAAATGGGAAGCTAGTGCTTGCAGGAGCCCACTGCTGCTTGAAAAAAGACTTCCACATTTTTTCTGTGTAATTATTTAAACTGTGCAAGAGTGTTCATCTCTTAAAGTTAATCTTGTCCTCTCATTTTGCTAGTATGAAAACTAAAATTCATTAAGAAAGTTCAGTAGTGAGAGTTGCATAGCAAAGTTAATAAATATTCTAAGTCCTGGAGTTTTTACTGCTAATGTTGAGTGACAATTCCACTGTGTTAATAAATAAAAATAAAGCAAAATTGAAAAGCTCATCCTACATTAGCAAATATGTTTACCTTAGTTGACTTCACCTAAAAAAATCTCATGTACCCATACATGAAGGTCCATAAACAAATGCCCCTTCACAGTTGTTCTCCTGCAAAATCAGAAAATATTAATATTTTTAAACAATATGAGAACTCTGAATATTTTTCCAAAATGGCTTCTTCCATATTTCAAAGACTATAATACCTCCCCAAGATATAAAAATAACAAAAGGAAATAATATGAGATCCCTACCCTAGAGTTAGGGTAATCCTTCCTGTTGTCCTTGGAATTCATACATGTGTGCATGCATGGGTGTGTGTGTGTGTGTGTGTGTGTGTGCACTTTCGTGTATTCTAATAGAATTTACTTTTGATTGATTTTTCTCCCTATTTTTTCTCATACAGATAAATTTTCAACTTCCTTTTTCAAAATGAAGTTTTATGTTATTTCCAAGTTTGTTTTTCTACCAGCTACTAAATATATGCATGTTGGAGAATGTAGTTAACCTTTGCCTTTACACCACCTTGGTCATTGTACATTTGAACTTTCTCCAATGTTCTTATGGTACTGAGAATCCCAGAACCAGCAATTGTGTAAATGAAGCTACACTTGGAAGGTCTCTATTTCCAGGTGTTGTTTATTTAGCATTCATGGGTGTTATGACTCTATATTGTCTCTATTGTGCATAATCTTTTGTAATACAAATATGCTAATCTTTTCAATCTAGTTCTACTACTGGTATTAAATTTAAAAAATAATGCTGTATTTTTTAAAACTTGACTAATTAGCATTCCCATTCTCTGTTAGCATTGGTCTTTCTTTGTAAAGACCAGTAGCATTTATCTATATCCAATTTACTTTAAACTCCAGTCCTAATCTACTGGCATCAGTCTACTTAATTAGCACATTCTCTACTTTGTCTTCCAGATTTTTTATAAAGATATTAAACAAAATGGGACCCAATATCGATCCTTGTGGGACCCTACTGGAAACCTCTCCCCAACTAGACGGACTACCAATTACGATTTCTCTCTGTATACGGTTAGATAGCCAGTTTTTAATCCATTTATTTGTATTTCTGTTGGAACCAATTTGTATAGCTGTTCCCGCTGAAATAATGCTTGCGATCTTTGCAGATTATTTATGCATTATGTGTCCATAGATATTTGGGGATAATTTAAGTGTTCTCTTAAGACCCTAGTAGAGATTCCCAGGTTTACTTCTCAATGGACCTAAGCATCAGTATTCCACTGAA